ACTGGGAGAACACACACACTGGGAGGACACAGAACACTGGGAGAACACACACACTGGGAGGACACAGAACACTGGGAGAACACACACACTGGGAGGACACAGAACACTGGGAGAACACACACACTGGGAGGACACAGAACACTGGGAGAACACACACACTGGGAGGACACAGAACACTGGGAGAACACACACACTGGGAGGACACAGAACACTGGGAGAACACACACACTGGGAGGACACAGAACACTGGGAGAACACACACACTGGGAGGACACAGAACACTGGGAGAAAGGTGTTCTGTGGGAGGACACAGAACACTGGGAGAACACACACACTGGGAGGACACACACACTGGGAGGACACAGAACACTGGGAGAACACACACACTGGGAGGACACAGAACACTGGGAGAACACACACACTGGGAGGACACAGAACACTGGGAGAACACACACACTGGGAGGACACAGAACACTGGGAGAACACACACACTGGGAGGACACAGAACACTGGGAGAACACACACACTGGGAGGACACAGAACACTGGGAGAACACACACACTGGGAGGACACAGAACACTGGGAGAACACACACACTGGGAGGACACAGAACACTGGGAGAACACACACACTGGGAGGACACAGAACACTGGGAGAAAGGTGTTCTGTGGGAGGACACAGAACACTGGGAGAACACACACACTGGGAGGACACAGAACACTGGGAGAACACACACACTGGGAGGACACAGAACACTGGGAGAACACACACACTGGGAGGACACAGAACACTGGGAGAACACACACACTGGGAGGACACAGAACACTGGGAGAACACACACACTGGGAGGACACAGAACACTGGGAGAACACACACACTGGGAGGACACAGAACACTGGGAGAACACACACACTGGGAGGACACAGAACACTGGGAGAACACACACACTGGGAGAACACAGAACACTGGGAGAAAGGTGTTCTGTGGGAGGACACAGAACACTGGGAGAACACACACACTGGGAGGACACACACACTGGGAGGACACAGAACACTGGGAGAACACACACACTGGGAGGACACAGAACACTGGGAGAACACACACACTGGGAGGACACAGAACACTGGGAGAACACACACACTGGGAGGACACAGAACACTGGGAGAACACACACACTGGGAGGACACAGAACACTGGGAGAACACACACACTGGGAGGACACAGAACACTGGGAGAACACACACACTGGAAGGACACAGAACACTGGGAGAACACACACACTGGGAGGACACAGAACACTGGGAGAACACACACACTGGAAGGACACAGAACACCGGGAGAACACACACACTGGGAGGACACAGAACACCGGGAGAACACACACACTGGAAGGACACAGAACACTGGGAGAACACACACACTGGAAGGACACAGAACACCGGGAGAACACACACACTGGGAGGACACAGAACACCGGGAGAACACACACACTGGAAGGACACAGAACACCGGGAGAAAGGAATGTGTACAAACTGAAACAGTGATGATAACATGAATAACAGAAATACAACAGTAACAGAGACTTGTATAATTCAGGGCGTGTATAAAGGTCTTCCTCCACAGTATATGATGATGATGATGATGATCTTGGAGGGGGGTCGGGGGGGGGGGAGAGCGTGAAGTGGAAGTGTACAAATGTAGAAATATTGTGTAATATGATACAAGGCGCGCTGTTCGCCATGGGGCGTTTTTCCTAGTTCATCTATTACGCACTCCATGCCCATCCCGTGGGCGGTAGTGGCCCCCATACTCATCCTGTGGGCGGTAGTGGACCCCATACTCATCCTGTGGGCGGTAGTGGACCCCATACTCATCCTGTGGGCGGTAGTGGACCCCATACTCATCCTGTGGGCGGTAGTGGACCCCATACTCATCCTGTACGCAGTGAAGGACCCCATACCCATCCTGTGGGCAGTAGTGGACCCCATACCCATCCTGTGGGCAGTAGTGGACCTCATACTCATCCTGTGGGCAGTGGAGGACCCCATACTCATCCTGTGGGCAATGGAGGACCCCATACCCATCCTGTGGGTGGTAGTGGACTCCATACCCATCCTGTGGGTGTTAGTAGACCCCATACCCATTATGTGGGCGGTAGTGGACCCCATACCCATCCTGTGGGTAGTAATAGACCCCCCATACCCATCCTGTGGGTGATAGTGGACCCCCCATACCCATCCTGTGAGAGGTAATGGAGTAAGGTTACAGAGGAACATTACAGGATCAGGAACTCACAGGATGAGTGACGCTGTCCAATTAACTCGCCCCTCGGGGGTAAAAATTAATTAAATTAAAATAACCAAACTTTACATACTTCACTAAAATCAAAGTTTAGGTTCTTAGCATTTTTTATATGAGATTTACATCAGGCTTGACATGCATGGCTGCTTCTGGCAGTACGTCATTTGAAATTAAATACTTTTATTCACTTATGATAAATGTTATTTCTACATAATTTAATATTCAATTGCATAACGACATGAAGAATGTAAATAGTTTACTTTTGATGAGCTCTATCCCAGCAGGTGGTTATCTTGAGATGATTTCGGGGCTTTTTAGTGTCCCCGCGGCCCGGTCCTCGACCAGGCCTCCACCCCCAGGAAGCAGCCCGTGACAGCTGACTAACACCCAGGTACCTATTTTACTGCTAGGTAACAGGGGCATAGGGTGAAAGAAACTCTGCCCATTGTTTCTCGCCAGCGCCTGGGATCGAACCCAGGACCACAGGATCACAAGTCCAGCGTGCTGTCCGCTCGGCCGACCGGCTCCCGAGGCCATCTTCCCGGTGACCTCACACAGTGTACGTGTGTTTGGGATCTAAGATTTGCTTTCTCAAACCACACACATTAGAAAGTGAAGGGACAACGACGTTTCGTTGACGCAATCGACTTGAGAATGGTCCAGGACGGCCCAAAACGTCGTCGTCCCTTCACCTTCTAGTGTGTGGTCTGGTCAACACACTTCAGCCACGTTATTGTGACTCCTCGCCTGCATTTGCTTGCTCTCTTTAGTGACGTAGCTGGTGAGTGCTTGTATGATTCCTCTGTTGTGTTTTAAGCATACGTGGCTGTGTATACAGGCGACCACAGGATATTGTAGAGAGAAGATAGGCCTCCCTGCCACAGCCTACCAGCCAGGGCGCTGTGTGGGAGACTGCTCTTTGCAATCGCTTAAATATGTCATTGTGATTGATCATTAGTGTGTGCTTGCGGGGGTTGAGCGCTGACTGTCAATCAACTGTTACTAACTACTAAATTTTTTCCACCCGCGCACACACACACACGCCCAGGAAGCAGCCCGTAACAGCTGTCTAACTCCCAGGTACCTATTTACTGCTAGGTAACAAGTACATCAGGATAAAAAGAAACTCAGCCCATTTTGTTTCTGCCATCACCGGGGGGTCGAACCCGGATCCTAGGATTACGAGTCCAGAGCGATGTCCACTCAGCTATCAGGTCCCCGTGTGTGTGTGTGATGGTGAGGGAGGGAGCAGTGAGGGAAGAGAGGAAGGAGAGGTGTTGTGAGAGTCACGTCACACCCCGCTGCTGACACGGGAGAGATGGAGGAAGAAGGGAGAGGTGGGAGGGGAGGAGGGAGGGGGGTGGGGGAGAGAAGGGAGGGGTGGGGGAGAGGGGAGAGAGGCGAGGGAGGGAGGAAGCTCAGGTCAGCCAGTACCGTAAGCAGACAATATGAGTCTTGCTAAGTGTGGAGTGTAATTACAGGTGTCTTCTGGCCGTGACGTGTCTGCGGTACACTGTCTGCTTGCCAGCGCCTTTAGCTGCTTGTCCGTCTGTTGCTTGTATGCTGTTTGTCTTCTGTTTATTTGCGAGCCGGTCGGCCGAGCGGACAGCACGCGGGGCTTGTGATCCTGTGGTCCTGGGATCGATCCCAGGCGCCGGCGAGAAACAATGGGCAGAGTTTTTTCACCCTATGCCCCTGTTACCTAGCAGTAAATTAGGTACCTGGGTGTTAGTCAGCTGTCACGGGCTGTTTCCTGGGGGTGGAGGCCTGGTCGAGGACCTGGGCGGGGACACTAAAAAAGCCCCGAAATCATCTCAAGATAACCTCAAGATAACCTATCCACTCCCAGATCCTTCTCTCTGAGTTCTGTAGCTGCCCCATATTGTGTCGATGCCTTTTGCTCTTATCTCTCCCTTTCCAATCCTCATTACCTTGCACTTGTTGTGATTAAACTCCAACAACCATATATGTGTGACCAGTCTTGGAGCGTGTCAAGACCCCCTCATGTAACATCCTGCCTGGTTGATACCTGGTTGATGGGGTTCTGGGAGTTCTTCTACTCCCCAAGCCCGGCCCGAGGCCAGGCTTGACTTGTGAGAGAAGCAGTCCTACAGTCCTCATCTCACCATGACATCTGAGTGATTGCATTAATGTGTTCAGATGGATGTTGTCACGTATGTGTTCTGGTTGTAAGGTTTCAATAGCAGTTCCTCATCTGTTGTCACGTTGCTCATCAACTTTGCATCATCCACAAACATCGACATGTTTAATAAGAGCTGTGGGAGCTGGTGGTGAGTGTCCAGTGGTGTCCCGTCTTCCATGTACTTGTGGGAGCAGGTGGCTGAACGGACAGAACACTGGACGAGTGATCTTGTGGTCCCGGGTTCGATCCCGGACGCCGGTGAGAAACAATAGGCAGAGTTTCTTTCACGCTAGCAGTAAATAGGTACCTGGGAGTTAGTCAGCTGTCACGGGCTGCTTCCTGGGGGTGGAGGCCTGGTCGAGGACCGGGCCGCGGAGACACTAAGCCCCGAAATCATCTCGAGATAACCTCAAGATACTCTGTCATATAGCGTTTAACTTGTTCCAAACGTCTTCAAGAAGCAGATTTCTAGAATTCCTTTTTTGTGAATGTTGTCGGTTGCTGCTGCTATTATGTATGTAGAGCTCATGTCACCTCTTTTTCTTATATCTTTTAGCTTTGAAAAATATAACACCTCTTTCCCTTCCTCGCAACCCTTGTCTTTCACTTCCAAAAGCACCTCACACTGCGCACCTCACACTGCGCACCTCACACGGCGCACCTCACACGGCGCACCTCACACTGCGCACCTCACACTGCGCGCCTCACACTGCGCGCCTCACACTGCGCGCCTCACACTGCGCGCCTCACACTGCGCACCTCACACTGCGCACCTCACACTGCGCACCTCACACTGCGCACCTCAGACTGCGCACCTCACACTGCGCGCCTCACACTGCGCACCTCACACGCCAGGACCACAAGGGCCATGGTCCATGGCCTGGTGGTGGCGGGGGGGGGGGACTGGGGGACAATATTATTATGTATGACTAATACAGGACGGCGGCCACCTCATCCGGAGTGGACCACCACACATTGCACAAGTCTCGCTCATGAACTGTTCTCTGGGGGTGGCTGGGGGTGTGGCTGGGGTGTGTGGCTGGGGGGTGTGGCTGGGGTGTGTGGCTGGGGGGTGTGGCTGGGGGGTGTGGCTGGGGGGGTGTGGCTGGGGTGTGTGTGTGGCTGGGGAGTGTGTGTGGCTGGGGAGTGTGTGTGGCTGGGAAGGAGTGTGACTGGGGTGTGTGTGGCTGGGAAGGAGTGTGACTGGGGTGTGTGGCTAGGGGGTGTGTGGCTGACGGGGTCTGGCTGAGATGGCAGGTGAGGGTGTGGTGTCTGTCTGGCTGGGGGAGGAGGGGCGGGTGAGGGTGTGGTGTCTGGCATGGGAGTGAGTGAGTGAGTGAGGGAGGGGGGGGGGCAAGTGAGGTGTGAGGACACTTAACTAGTGCCTCACCTGGTTGCCAGGGAGTGTGAGTCTCCGGGAGTGTGAGGAGACTACGCTATGAGAACACGGAGGGGGAGGTCGGGGCGGCCACTACCAGCTCTCTAAAAAAACATTGTTGGTATCTGGTATGCCCTCCACGGTGAGCTGGGGCGGCGAGCACAGGCGGTGCCTGGTGGTGGCTACGGGTGCATGACGGTGGTGGGTGGTGGTAGTCGTGGTGGTAGTGAGGAAAGCCAGGAGTTAAGATGGTAACACTTGGGTATTCACATCATAGGGAGACTCGGTACTGAAGACCTCCCATAGGTGGTGATGAGACATGGAGAGAAAAGTTTGTAGACGCTGTGTTGAGCATTGAGGCAACACATAACAGAACCAACAAGAGGAAAGGAATAGGACCTGCCAGCAACATCAGACTCCGTGTTTTACCCAAGATGATAAATAAAAATTTTATTTATTTTTTTTAAATTTTGCCCCGAGGGATGAGTCTATTGGGTAGCGTCACTCATCTTGTGAGTGGACACACCGCCATAGTGACAGTATTGGGCAGCGTCACTCATCCTGTGAGTGGACACACCGCCATAGTGACAGTATTGGGCAGCGTCACTCATCCTGTGAGTGGACACACCGCCATAGTGACAGTATTGGGCAGCGCCACTCATCCTGTGGTGGACACACCGCCATAGTGACAGTATTGGGCAGCGCCACTCATCCTGTGAGTGGACACACCGCCATAGTGACAGTATTGGGCAGCGCCACTCATCCTGTGAGTGGACACACCGCCATAGTGACAGTATTGGGCAGCGCCACTCATCCTGTGAATGGACACACCGCCATAGTGACAGTATTGGGCAGCGCCACTCATCCTGTGAATGGACACACCGCCATAGTGACAGTATTGGGTAGCGCCACTCATCCTGTGAATGGACACACCGCCATAGTGACAGTATTGGGCAGCGCCACTCATCCTTTGAATGGACACACCGCCATAGTGACAGTATTGGGCAGCGCCACTCATCCTGTGAATGAACACACCGCCATAGTGACAGTATTGGGCAGCGCCACTCATCCTGTGAGTGGACACACCGCCATAGTGACAGTATTGGGCAGCGCCACTCATCCTGTGAGTGGACACACCGCCATAGTGACAGTATTGGGCAGCGCCACTCATCCTGTGAATGGACACACCGCCATAGTGACAGTATTGGGCAGCGCCACTCATCCTGTGAGTGGACACACCGCCATAGTGACAGTATTGGGCAGCGCCACTCATCCTGTGAATGGACACACCGCCATAGTGACAGTATTGGGCAGCGCCACTCATCCTGTGAATGGACACACCGCCATAGTGACAGTATTGGGCAGCGTCACTCATCCTGTGAATGGACACACCGCCATAGTGACAGTATTGGGCAGCGTCACTCATCCTGTGAATGGACACACCGCCATAGTGACAGTATTGGGCAGCGCCACTCATCCTGTGAATGGACACACCGCCATAGTGACAGTATTGGGCACATATCCACTACAGCCTGGTTGTTCCGGCACTTCTTGCAAGAACTTATCCAAGTGCCTCTTCAGTACATCCACCTTTGTTCCAGCAATATTTCTAATGCTTGCTGGGAGGGTGTTGAATAGCTCTGGACCTCTGATGTTCAGTGTTCTCTGGTTGTGCCTATGGCACCTCTACCCCTCACTGATTCTATTTTGCATTTCCATCCGCACCTTTCACTCCAGTATGTTGTTATTCTACTGTGCAAATTTGGGACGTGGCCTTAGTATCCTCCATGTATATATATATTGATACCTTTCTCGTCTCCTTTCTAAAGAGTACATTTTGAGACCTTTGAGACGGTCCTGATAATTCAGACGTGTTATCGTGTCTATGCGTGCTGTATATGTTCTTTGTATTCCCTCTAGTTCAGAGATCTCTCCCGCTCTGAAGGGGAAGCGAGTCCCCAACAATACTCAAGACGGGACAGCATCAGTGATTTAAATAGTATTAGCATTGCTGTGGGGTCTCTGGGTTTGAACAGTCTCATAATCCATCTTATCATTTTCTTGGCCGCCGCAATATTATAATTGTTCGGTTATGTTCACTAAATGTCAGGTCGTCAGACATCATAATATAGCCAAAGTTTATAGAGTTTATAGACAAAACTGTACTACCTCCCTAGTGTAGTGGAGCTTTGCGCCGGGTATCTCACTTGTATCTAAGCTTTCTCCATGTTGGCAGCAGTGTCAATGTTGGTAGTTACAGAGGTGGAAGGGGTGACAGTGGTGGCAGAGATGCCAGTTTTTTTTTTAATATATAGATATACAGATTTACGTATGCCCTACATTGGTGGCAGAGATGCCAGTGGTGGCAGAGATGCCAGTGGTGGCAGAGATGCCAGTGGTGGCAGAGATGCGAGTGGTGGCAGAGATGCCAGTGGTGGCAGAGATGCCAGTGGTGGCAGAGATGCCAGTGGTGGCAGTGTCTGGTGAGGGCAGCGTCACAGGAAGGCCAGAGTAGAGACAATCGATTCCTCTGGCCAGGCTCTTGCTGCCCTGCGTCCCACCCACCCGTCACCACCCACCCGTCACCACCCGCCCGTCACCACCCGCCCGTCACCACCCGCCCGTCACCACCCGCCCGTCACCACCCGCCCGTCACCACCCGCCCGTCACCACCCGCCCGTCACCACCCTCCCGTCACCACCCTCCCGTCACCACCCTCCCGTCACCACCCTCCCGTCACCACCCGCCCGTCACCACCCGCCCGTCACCACCCGCCCGTCACCACCCGCCCGTCACCACCCTCACACCCGCGTCTCACCTGGCCGCGGTAAACACACCCTGTCACCTACCTTGAGTATACCTTGAGATGGTTTCTGGGTCTAGCGTCCCCGCGGCCCGGTCATCGACCAGGCCTCCTCGTTGCTGGACTGGTCAGCCAGGCTGTTGGATGCGACTGCTCGCAACGTGACGTATGAGTCACAGCCTGGATGATCAGGTATCCTTTGGAGGTGCTTATCAAGTTCTTTCTTGAACGCTGCGAGGGGTCGGCCAGTTATGTCCCTTATGTGTAGTGGAAGCGTGTTGAACAGTCTCGGGCCTCTGATGTTGATAGTTCTCTCTTGAACACTGTGAGGGGTCGGCCAGTTATGTCCCTTATGTGTAGTGGAAGCGTGTTGAACAGTCTCGGGCCTCTGATGTTGATAGTTCTCTCTTGAACACTGTGAGAGGTCGGCCAGTTATTCTCTCTTGGACACTGAGGATTCGGCCAGTTATGCCCTATATGTGCAGTGGAAGCGTGTTGAACAGTCTCGGGCCTCTGGTTGATATCTGGTTGATGGGGTTCTGGGAGTTCTTCTACTCCCCAAGCCCGGCCCGAAGCCAGGCTTGACTTGTGAGAGTTTGGTCCACTAGGCTGTTGCTTGGAGCGGCCCGCAGGCCCACATACCAACCACAGCCCGATTGGTCTGGCACTCCTTGGAGGAATAAATCTAGTTTCCTCTTGAAGATGTCCACGGTCGTTCCGGCAATATTTCTTATGCTCGCTGGGAGGGTGCTGAACAACCGTGGACCTCTGATGTTTATACAGTGTTCTCTGATTGTGCCTATGGCACCCCTGTTCTTCACTGGTTCTATTCTCCATTTTCTTCCATATCGTTCACTCCAGTACGTTGTTATTTTACTGTGTAGATTTGGGACCTGACCCTCCAGTATCTTCCAGAAGTATATTATTTGATATCTCTCTCGTCTTCTTTCTAGTGAGTACATTTGGAGGGCTTTGAGACGATCCCAATAATTTAGGTGCTTTATCGCGTCTATGCGTGCCGTATATGTTCTCTGTATTCCCTCTGTTTCAGCAATATCTCCTGCTCTGAAGGGGGAAGTGAGTACTGAGCAGTACTCAAGACGGGACAACACAAGTGACTTGAAGTGAACAACCATTGTGATGGGATCCCTGGATTTGAAAGTTCTCGTAATCCATCCTATCATTTTTCTGGCTGACGCAATATTTGCTTGGTTATGCTCCCTAAACGTTAGATCGTCGGACATCATTATTCCCAAATCCTTTACATGCTGTTTTCCTACTATGGGCACATTTGATTGTGTTTTGTACCCTGTATTATGCTTAAGGTCCTCATTTTTACCGTACCTGAGTACCTGGAATTTATCACTGTTAAATATCATGTTATTTTCTGACGCCCAGTCAAAAACTTTATTAACATCAGCTTGAAGTTTTTCAATGTCTTCAGTCGAGGTAATTTTCATACTGATTTTTGTGTCATCTGCAAAGGATGATACGAAGCTGTGACTTGTATTTTTGTCTATATCTGATATGAGAATAAGGAAAAGCAGCGGTGCAAGGACTGTACTCTGAGGAACAGAGCTTTAACTGCGCTCGGACTAGCGGCCTCTGATGTTGATAGAGTTCTCTCTCAGAGTACCTGTTGCACCTCTGCTCTTCAACGGGAGTATTCTGCACATCCTGCCATGCCTTCTGGTCTTATGTGGTGTTATTTCTGTGTGCAGGTTAGGGACCAGCCCTTCTAATATTTTCCACGTGTAATTATTATGTATCTCTCCCGCTCGCGCTCAAGGGAATACAGATTTAGGCTCTTTAGTCGGTCCCAGAAGTTTAGATGTTTTACCGAGTGGAATCTAGCAGTAAAGGATCTCTGCACGCTCTCCAGGTCAGCAATTTCTCCAGCTTTGAAAGGGGCTGTCATTGTGCAGCAGTACTCCACTCTAGAGAGCACTAGCGTCTTGAAGAATATCAACATCGGTATAGCATCTCTGGTGTGAAAGGTTCTTGTTATCCAACCTGTCATTTTCTTGCAGTTGTGACGACTACTTTATTGTTTCAGAACACAATAAATCCTTTACATTGCCTTTTCGTTCTATGGTATGATTTGACTGCGTTTTGTACGTGGTTTCCGTTTTTATATTTTCATTTTTCCTTAGCATAGGAACTGGAACTTATCTTCGTTAAACACCGTATTATTTTCTGTAGCCCATAGAAAGACCTGATTTACATTTGATTGGAGGTTTGCCGTGTCCTCTATGTTGCCAACTCTCATGAAGATCCTAGTGTCATTTGCAAAGGATGATACAGTGCTATAGATTGTGTCCTTGTCTATGTCCGATATGAGGATGAGAGAAAGCACTGGAGCAAGCACAGTACCCTGGGGGACTGTACTGGAGCAAGCACAGTACCCTGGGGAACTGAGAGGAGAGGAGAGAGAGAGAGGAAGAGGAAAAAGAGAGAGAGAGAGAGAGAGAGAGGATGGGAAGGTGAGTGAGAGAGAGAAGAGGGGGGAGAGAGAGAGAAGAGGGGGGAGAGAGAGGGAGGAAGTGGGAGAGAGAGGGAGGAAGTGGGAGAGAGAGGGAGGAAGTGGGAGAGAGAGGGAGGAAGTGGGAGAGAGAGGGAGGAAGTGGGAGAGAGAGGGAGGAAGTGGGAGAGAGAGGGAGGAAGTGGGAGAGAGAGGGAGGAAGTGGGAGAGAGAGGGAGGAAGTGGGAGAGAGAGGGAGGAAGTGGGAGAGAGAGGGAGGAAGTGGGAGAGAGAGGGAGGAAGTGGGAGAGAGAGGGAGGAAGTGGGAGAGAGAGGGAGGAAGTGGGAGAGAGAGGGAGGAAGTGGGAGAGAGAGGGAGGAAGTGGGAGAGAGAGGGAGGAAGTGGGAGAGAGAGGGAGAGAGAGGGGGGGGAGAGAGAGGGAGGAAGTGGGAGAGAGGAGGGAGGAAGAGGGGAGAGAGAGGGAGGAAGTGGGAGAGAGAGGGAGGAAGTGGGAGAGAGAGGGAGGAAGTGGGAGAGAGAGGGAGGAAGGGGGGGAGAGAGAGGGAGGAAGAGGAGAGGGGAGAGGGAGAGGGAGGGAGAGGGAGAGAGGGAGAGAGGGGGAGAGGGAGAGGGAGAGGGGAGGGAGAGGAAGAGGGAGAGGAAGAGGGAGAGGAAGAGGGAGAGGAAGAGGGAGAGGAAGAGGGAGAGGAAGAGGGAGAGGAAGAGGGGGAGAGGAAGAGGGAGAGGGGGGGAAAGGAAGAGGGAGAGGAAGAGAGAGAGGAAGAGGGAGAGGAAGAGGGAGAGGAAGAGGGAGAGGAAGAGGGGAGAGAGGAAGAGGGAGAGGAGAGGAGGGGGGAGAGGGAAGAGGGGAGAGGGAGAGAGGGAGAGGAAGAGGGAGAGGAAGAGGGAGAGGGGGGGGGGAGGAAGAGGGGGAGAGGGAGGGAGGAAAAGAGGGAGAGAGGGGGAAAGGAAGAGGGAGAGAGGGGGAAAGGAAGAGGGAGAGAGGGGGAAAGGAAGAGGGAGAGAGAGAGAGAGGTGGAAAGTAGGAGGGAGAGAGGAGGGGAGGAGGAGGAGGTGAGAGGGGAGGAGGAGGAGCTGCGCATATTGGGCCTCAGAGACGGGTGTTGGCAGCGCCGGGGGGAGCCAGTATTTTGGTAGGGTCAGGTGAAGGGGCGGCTTCTATTTTTTGACACGGGCATGTTGCGTGGGGCATGTCCTACCTGGTGGGCAGGGGGCACAAGAAGCCCACTTGTGAGGGAATGGCCACCCCTCATATGGCTAGGGCATGGAATTGGGCAATTTATGCTATGGTAGAAAGATGGCTCAATTATAGAGATTAGAAAAGAAGGGAATATATCGCTAGAAAGCGCCAAGCCATTACGACATGGGTTGAAAGGAAAACAGACACACTATCAACCCACTCAAGCATTATCTCTTATTACCTGCCCACCGAGTCGTCCCCGTGCCCACCGGGTCGTCCCCGTGCCCACCGGGTCGTCCCCGTGCCCACCGGGTCGTCCCCGTGCCCACCGGGTCGTCCCCGTGCCCACCGGGTCGTCCCCGTGCCCACTGGGTCATCCCCGTGCCCACCGGGGAGAACAAGGAACTTACAAACATTCAATGGCAAAATGTTCTAAGAAATAAAAATCTTACACAAGGAATAGAAAGACTGGTTTCTGAAGCATATGAAGTCTGCCTGAAACATGTTCCTTTGAGGAAAGCCAGAAAGAGGTCCAATGCAGAAAGGGAATGCAGACGACATAACAAAAGAAGGAAAAAATTAACAGAAATGCTTAAGCAGACATGACTTTCCAAATAAAGGAGGAATAATTTAAACAGAGAGATTGAAGAAATCGAACAGAAACAAGCATTCATATCAGACTGAAGAAAGGCAACTGGAACAGAAAGGAATTCAAGAAATAAAGAAAAACCCAAAATATTTCTTCACATATCCTAAATCAAAAGCAAAAACCACTGCCAGTATTTTTTGTATTAGTGAAGATTCATACACAGGATGACAAAGATATTAACAAAACCCTGAAAAAGCAATATGAGGACATGTTTAGCGCTCCGATAAACAGCGTGAAAGTGGAAGATCGGGATAACTTCTTTATGCGTGATATCCGAACACCTGTAAATATAACTGATATCAACACGAGTGTAACAGATTTTGAAAGAGAAATTGACAACATGCCCATGCACCCAGAGCTTGGGTCCAGACTCGTGGAATTCAATATTTATAAAGAAATG